GCCACTGCCAGCGGCAAGGCCCACCTATTACTATCCAAAATGCTTATTAGGGGGGCCACTGCCGGAGGCAAGGCCCACCTATTACTATCCAAAATACTTATTAGGGGGGCCACTGCCAGCGGCAAGGCCCATCTATTACTATCCAAAATACTTATTAGGGGGGCCACTGCCAGCGGCAAGGCCCACCTATTACTATCCAAAATGCTTATTAGGGGGGCCACTGCCGGAGGCAAGGCCCACCTATTACTATCCAAAATACTTATTAGGGGGGCCACTGCCAGGGGCAAGGCCCACCTATTACTATCCAAATTACTTATTAGTGGGGCCACTGCCAGCGGCAAGGCCCACCTATTAGTATCCAAAATACTTATTAGGGGGGCCACTGCCAGCGGCAAGGCCCACCAATTACTATCCAAATTACTTATTAGGGGGGCCACTGCCAGCGGCAAGGCCCACCTATTACTATCCAAAATACTTATTAGATGGGCAACCGCCGGAGGCAAGGCCCACCTATTACTCTTCGCCATATTTATTCCGCTCCTTATAGTTCTGCAGAGCTGCAGAGCTCTGTGAGCTGTGCTTCTGGTTCCAGGCGGGCGAAGCCCGCTTAGAAAGATTTAAGTAATACATTGCTATTGGTACAGGGCGGGAGAAGCCCGCTCTCAGTGATTTTTTAAGATATACATTATTTCTGTTACCAGGCGGGCGAAGCCCGCTTAGAGGGCTTTAGTCAGAGCCCGGTTCTGGTTCTGGTTCTGGGGATCGGACCCAACCGGGTCGGAACTGGACCGGGGCCCAGCCATGTCATACCTCGTTGCGTAGGTCTTTTTCTCAGCTTTCAGCCTATGTGACCCGCGACCTGCCCATCCCATCTGTATTACCCAACCCACATTATAGAGAGGCCAAATATCAATCGGCCGACCTGCCCCGGTTTCCTGGACGGGCAGTAGGTGGCCCCCCTCAAAATGTCTTCAGAAATTTTCTAGTTCTGTCTTTTATACTGGAACTTTATTTCCGAATAAAAAGCAAACGATATCAGATACCAGAGCCTGATGGTTCGGCGTGCTAGAGTTAGGGTTAGTTAGGGTTAGGGTTAGTTAGCTGTACGTCGGAGGTACTCACCCAGTGGGCTTTGGGTTGAGGGGCAGACAGAGGCAGGCGCGCTTCTCTGTAATCAGAAAGAGCGGTTAAAGCCCCTGACAGTGAGGCTGAGGTCCGGTCTCTGGACCCCACAGACCAGACTAGACCCTGGTGGGCGTGTGGACTCACCGTGGCAGCAGGGTTTGGTGGGCTCTGGGGGGGGGGGCAGCTCGGCCTGCGTCTCCATGGCTCCTCCTGCCTGGGTGGGCAGGAGCCTGAGTTCCCCCCGGTCCCCCTGACCCCCCCGGTCCTCCTGGTCCTCGTCCCGGGGCCGGTTCGGGCGGGGCCTCTTGGCGAAGCGGCTGGGGAACGAGGCCAGTCGGCGGGAGCGCCGCACGGAGAAGGAGCCGCCGTCAGCCGGACGCTCGGGGCTCCGCCCCCCGGGGCCACGCCCCCCGGGGCCCCCCCTCTCTGAGGAGTCTCTGCAGGGCTGCGGCCTGCTGGAGCCGGCCGGGTCCGGGGTCTGAGCCGGGTCCTGACCCTGGGTCTGGGTCTGGGTCTGGGCCTGGGCCTGGGTCTGGGTCTGGGTCTGGGCCTGGTTCTGACCCTGGTTCTGACCCTGGCCCTGGCCCTCCCCCCCCCTCTGGGCGTAGGGGGGGCTGGTGAGCCGGTAGGGCTGGCTCACGTCGAAGACGCCGCTCTGCTGCAGAAGGTCCCGCAGCAGCGAGTCGGCGCGGGCCTGGCGGCGGCGGGCGAAGGGCAGCCTGCGGGGGGCGGGGGGGGCGGTGGGGGGGGCGGGCGGGGCCACCAGCACCAGCCGGCTGTGGGCGGGGCGCGGGGCCCTCCGGGCCGGCTCCCGGCGCTCCCAGCCCTGCTGCTTGCGCGTGGGGAGGCAGTAGGTGTGCATGTAGGTGATGAGCTCCACCACGGAGCGCAGCTCCCTCTCCGAGCCGAACTGGGGCGGGGCCGGCGCCACGGCAACGCCCGCCGGCGCCACGGCAACGCCCTCCGCCTCGCTGCCGGAGGACTCCTCCTCCTCCTCCTCCTCCTCCTCCTCCTCGGACTCGCTGTCCTCCTCCTCGTCCTCCTCCGTGTCGGCGGGGGGGGCGGTGGTCAGGTGGCGGTGCAGCTCCGTGCACAGACGCCCCGCCGGGCGCACCGCGCGGGGCTTACGCTCCAGAGGGAGGTCGCTCTGGGGAGAGCAGCACACATCAGCCCCTCAACAACACATCAGCCCCTCAACAACCAGCACACATCAGCCCCTCAAGAACACATCAGCCCCCAAAGCACACATCAGCCCCTCAAGAACCAGAACACATCAGCCCCTCAAGAACCAGCACACATCAGCCCCTCAAGAACCAGAACACCCCCAGAGGGCTGAAGCCCCAGAGGTCTGCAGCTATGCTGGGACCAGAGGGGGGAACCTGTGTCCCCCTCAGCCAAACCCGCTCCAGGCCCACCACACCCCCATGTCCTCCCCTCATCCTCACACCGACTAAATGTTCTGTTGAGACCCATTTCTGGCCAACAGGCAGGAGGATGGGAAACTCAAACATGATGAGCTCCCATCTTCCTTTAAGCACATATGTTTAACTGGGATGTTGCCTGTAAGGTTAGGGGTGAAATATTAATCATACTGCGTATATACAGAGCAGTATTTTCTCCTCTCCTGTGGTGGACAGGTGAAGGACTCGGGCAGAGGGGTGAATGTTCGGTTCTCTGGCCTGGACTCAGCACAGGGAGCAGCAGACTCTGACTGACTGATTCCACTCTGCTTCCACAAGACAAACGACTGGTGCTGTAATCAGTGACCGCTAGAAGAACGATGCTAGCAGCTATCCAATTACAGCCCAGTCATCCAGAGGAATCCCTGTAACCCCCCCCCCCCCCCCCCACCACATCCATCACAGCTCGAGCCTCCGCCAGCCGAAGCCCTAAGCTTTTATTGTGAAATTAAATGTCTATCGTTTGGAAAATAGGAGCTGCTGCTGTGGAGAAGTTTGATGTTCCAGTAAAGAGAAACTGGCCTCCAGAGGTTCTGGTGGTTTTTCTTAAAGATTTCTCTGTTTACTGGATCATCGTGTGGAGGAAAAACCCAGAACGTTCCCTTTAACTGATCCCAGCGTTAGCCGTGTGCTAGAGGGGAACTCGGCGTAAACACTGTCCCCGTTATTCAGGCATGAGTGGAAAACCGATCCATCGACCTGCAGGAGCCCCGCCCCCTTCAGAGGGCGATGTGCAGCTTTTCCACTTGACCTTCCTACATCACAGAGCAGCGGACCATGCGGCGATTGGCCTTTTTCTGCTCAGGGTCAAACAGCAGAGCTGGGGGGGGGTTCTAAAAATGATTCTGGTGCTTCGGCTGTCAGAGAAGTGACCGTCTGCAGGAGCACGTCACAGGTTCACCCCGTATTCGGTTTGGGGAACCGAGGTCCACTCTTTTTGCACCCAATAGACAAAACCTTCACCATTCAATAAGGGTTTGATTCCAAGCCCATTTCAGTTCTATAATGTGATCTATTATCATTGTGTGGCTCGTCCTACAGATTAGTGCATTTGGTTTGATCAGGACTTACCAGCAATGACAGTGTTGGAAGTCTGATTATAAACCAGGAACAGTAACAGACGCCGGTTTGAAACTGGCGTGAAAACGCGAATGACTTCTGCCTTAACTCGCCCCCCAGAGAGGAGGCGGCCGGATAGATCTGATCTGCCCTCTCAGACTCTGATGTGGGGAACATCCAGAGTCTGAGCCCTGTCCTCCAGCCCTGTCCCCCTGTTTCCAGCCCTGTTTCCAGCCCTGTTTCCAGCCCTGTCCCCCTGTTTCCAGCCCTGTTTCCAGCCCTGTTTCCAGCCCTGTTTCCA